GGCTTCTTCCTGCTTTCCCTTTCACCTCCCTGCATTGTGCCTACATATGCAAATTAACCTCCATCTTTGTTGTCAGTTAACTGCCACCTGAGTTGGCAGTTAATTTGCATATAGCCCTGATTAGCCAATGAAAAGGGTAGCATCGTACGCCAATTACCATTTTTCTCTTTTATTAGTGTAGATTGCCCCACAGGGTGAGCATATGGATGAAGAAGCTGGGTGTCAGGCAGGAAGTGACCTGTCTGAGGCCCACATCTAAGTGTTCAAATCCACATTTCTACTGCCTGGTTAAGCTACAAAGTTCCCATCTTCTCCCTAAGCCCTGCTGCCTTACCATACGGATTCAGAAAAGGTCAATTAGAAGTGTTTATTTGCTTAATGTTTTGGCAACTGATTTCTCAAGAGAAATGAGGACAAGTGTGATGAAATAGCTACTTGTCATTGGAGGAACCCACATGGGTTGCCATAAGTGGCCAGTCAGAAAGATCTGAGGTAAATAAAGCTGTTAAATGTGTTACAGAAAGGATAATAAAGGAAGTTTACTATAACTGGCCCCCAATATTCCGAATTCTAGTGAGGACTGGTAAATACTGTGGTGTTCACACAGTATGTGTCCTACATAATCCTATTTGCCACTTTCTCAGGGGTTTACATTAGAAAAGAAAAAAGTTCAGGGGAAAAAAAGGGGGTGTGTCAAACTAGCCAAACTTACATCCTCAGGTAGCAATGACTGTCCTTTTGGGTTAATGGCAGTCTTACTCGTCTAAAATGCAGAGCAAGGGCAGCAAGCATGTCGCTGACTATTGTTAAAGGTACCCGTTGGGCAACGGGAACATCCTGAAAGGCAATGCAATGCTGGTTCACACAGGCTCTGAAAATAAATCCATTAAGTATCTGGATCTGATCTGACCGCTCCCTGAAAACAGTCAGCCATCATGTTGGAAACACGCGCACTCTCTCATTCTGCAGTGATAGTGTCTACTTACGGTGTTCAGGGCCAACCTCCAACCTGCATCTCTAACACAGAACTTACTAGAGACAAAACAGAGTCTTTAACTGCACTCGCAAAGAGCTTTGACATTTAAGAAATCATAAATATAAATCATAAATACATTACCTGAAAGCACGAGGAAACTAGAGGCTGCCTCTAACCACCAGCATTCATTTATCTTAGTGGTGATAAAAAAAGGCTTAAAAAGTCATGCGTGAGACAATGACAAAAGTGGTCATACAGCTCTGCTCCTGGCGGGGTGTGCTGCCCAGCGTAACCACCTCTCTGGGAAGGAGCGGCTGACACAGTTGCACCTGGGAATCAGCAAGAACAGGCTCGCTGCTCTGGCCTACAGTGAGTGAGGCTGCTATTCATGCCGAAGAGCATCTGGCTACTACCTGTGAATGTAAGTTCCATGTTTGACAAACAGAAAGCTGGACAGTGAGGTCAGGCCCCGAAGAGCCAGGAGGAAGAGAGGGTATTCTTTTGCTTCTACTCAGGAATACTCCAGCCAAGTCCATTAGGTTCTCATAGTGTATTGATTCAAAACATTGGCACAACTCAGAGGACTCAACGGACTTTGAAAGCAGCTTTGATTCCATACTTTCTAGTAAAATGTAGGGGCCAATGTGTTACAACAGCAGCCTGAAGTCTTTCACATTTTAATATCTCTCTCTCTCTCTCTCTCTCTCATTTATTGTCTAAAGTTTTACATAATGTCTCCTTTTTTCCCGATTGACCTCCCCCTCCCCAGCCATTCCCACCCCGGGCAAGCCCCCACCGCCCCAGTGTCCGTGTCCATTGTTTATGCTGATATACATGCTTACAAGCCTTTGGTCGCTCTCTAACCACCCCTCCCCTGCCATTTGTCTCTGGATCTATTTTCGTTCACCAAATTATGTTGATCATTATATCCCACATATGGGTGAGATCATGTGATAAGTGAAATGCAGTTCTGGTGTATTTTAAGAAGGAATTTGGTTTATCTTTTAAAAAATATATTTTTATTGATTTCAGAGAGGAAGGGAGAGAGACTAAGAGGTAAAAGCATTAATGATGAGAGAGAATCATTGATCAGCTGCCTCCTACACGTCCCACATGGGGGATCAAGCCCTCAACCCGGGCATATGCCCTCACTAGGAATCAAACCGTGACTTCCTGGCTCATAAGTCGACGCTCAACCACTAAGCCATGCCGGCCGGGCTTATCTTTAATTGTAAATGCTTATACCGTAAGACTCAGTCATTCTACTTCTAGGAATCTAATGTACAGAAATACTTCCACACGTTCACAAATTTTCCCAACCCTCCAAACACGTACATATGTGTACACACACACACACACACACACACACACACACACACACACCTTCATTGGGAAATCATTAAATAAATTATGGCAATCTACACTATGGATAATCTCTAAATGACAACACAGGCAAAATTTTCAAAGCAAAGTGAAAAAAAACATCATGGAACATGAATATTTCCAACCCCATTTATGTAAAAAATGAAGCTCTGTATGGGACTGAGAGAGCAGTGGAGACTCATTTTACTCTATATTTCTGTATTGTTTGTATTTTTACAATGAGTATGTCTTTTTTTTTTTTTGCTAACTTACAAATTTCAAAAAAATTTAACATGGAAATATAGACTCATACGATTAATAGAAAAGTCAGCTATAACCCTACTCTCCACACAGAGTTGTTTCTCCCTAGGTGCTAGAAATCCTTCAAAATATTTTCCGGTGAACTTGCACTATTACAAACTTTTATAGCGTGTGTTTAAAAGATTCTTTTAAAGCATTATTTTAAAGGGCTGCATAGTATTCTATCTTATGAGTAAACCACAATGTTAATGTCTTCTGTTGTAGAAAACTTGGATCTTCTCATTTTTCTCTATAAGGAAACCACTGTGCTCACCATTCTTGTACATACAACTGTGCATATCTATATTTTCTTATAATACCCTTTCTGAAGTTTAATTCACTGGGCCAAAGAATAAGACTATTACTAATTTACTGGGTCAAAGAGAAAGAATATTGGTGGCATTTTTTGAGAAAGGCTGGACCAATTTAAACTTATACCAGAAATGTATAAGTGTTGGTAAGAAAGTGTTTTTCTGGGCAATAATTCGAGGCAATAAAATGTTTCAATCATTGCCATTTTGAAAGACAAAAATGGCATTTCTCTTTGGTTTTGTTTGTACTTCTTTGTTTAATAAAGTTAAACACTTTCCCATAGGTTTATTGTTTGTTTGCATTTGCTATTTTGAGAATTGCCTATTCATACCTTTGTGCATTTTCTACTGAATTATTTCTGTGCCACGAACTTTGAGTTCTAATAGATTATACATTCCTATACAAAAACTCCTTACAACAATATACCTAGTTGACCACAAACATAGAAAAGGTTTTAAAAATATAGAAAAGAAAAAAAATTTTTTAAAAAAGAAAAATTATATCTTTTCAACACTTTCTAAATTGAATCATAGATTTTTTTAAAATATATTTTATTGATTTTTTACAGAGTGAAAGGGAGAGAGATAGAGAGCCAGAAACATCGATGAGAGAGAAACATCGATCGGCCGCCTCCTGCACATCCCCCACTGGAGATGTGCACGCAACCCAGGTACATGCCCTTGATTGGAATCGAACCTGGGACCTTTCAGTCCGCAGGCCGACGCTCTATCCACTGAGCCAAACCGGTTTCGGCTGAATCACAGATTTTTAATGCAAATAGTCAAGGTTTCCTTATCTAGGGAGCAAAAAATATTGTTTCTATTGGAAATTCAAATTTAGCTAATGTTATCCATTAGGCTTTGAGAGGTAAATAAAGGGAAGGAAGGTAATTAACATATACTGAATGCAAACTGCGTACCAGGTCCTTGTACCTACAGTCTCATTTAATTCTCAAGCTAGTCCTACATGGTAGATATGATTTTCTCCTCTAAAATTAAAATATACATAAAACCTGTTTGATTCTAAAAAAAAATATATATATATATAGAAAATATTTTTTAAATCAGCAAAACTTTAGGATCTCGCTTAAATATAGCTTAGGAGTATTCAGATTTGGGTCAACTTCTTTGTACTTAAGGTTAAAATTATTCTTTTACCATTGAATTCTTCAATTTCCAACTCAGGAGCTACCATGTAATACTGTTCACATAACATCTTGGCAGTTTCATACGCATCTGCAAAAAAAAAGAAAAAAAGTTTAGCTGCTGCACTAAGGCACAAGCAGATGATAGATAGATAGATAGATAGATATAGATAGACATAATAGATAAGCAAACAAGGACAATTTCTAACTTGATGAATTTTTAATTAATTAACTACTTCTTTTTTAAAAAATAGCCTTTGTGGCTTGCCCATCTGGTGTGGCTCAGTGGTTGAGCTTTGACCTATGAACCAGGTGGTCACGGTTCAATTCCTGGTCAGGGCACATGCCTGGATTACGGGCTTGATCCCCAGTGGGGGCCATGCAGGAGGCAGCCAATCAATGATCCTCTCCCATCACTGATGTTTCTGTCTCTCTCTCCCTTGCCCTTCCTCTATGAAATCAATAAAAAAAAAATTTTAAAGCCCTATAGAATTTAAATATGTTAAAACTTGACATATCAACCTAAAATAATACAAAGATAAGAGTCAGGTGTGTTCCGACTGTAAGTTTCGGTTCGTTGACCTCATATTGCTAGCAAATTAAAATTGTATATATTATTTGACCTCGGAATAAAAATTCTTATTCCTTTATTCAACTTTTAGAATTAAACCATTAAAAGAACCACAGAGACATTAGAATAACTGACAAAATGAAATAATGAGGAAATGTTAGTAAGAGAAAAGGAAAAAAAGAGTTGATCACTGTGAAAACAAACATTAAAGTAGGACTTAATTGAAACCCGAAAAAATTAAAATACAGAATTATATTAAATTTGCAGGGTTTTTTCCTAGGGTATAATAAACCTCATTAAATATCTGTAAAGTACTTTTGTAAAAAGAAATCAAGATGCACTCTTTCTGCTTTGGCTATAGCACCAAACAATGCTACATCTCCACCTAGTGACACAATAGCACAAAGCCAACCAAGAACCTCCAAGGCTACTTTATTTAAACCAACAAATCCTAAAATCTCAAAATGATGCTCTGCTATCCATACACAAAGCCAATACATCTGCTCAAAACAACTCTCCAAGTATATAACACCGTTAAAGGTGTTTTGACATCATTCTTCCATTCACCATAAAAGAAAAAGTGCCCACTAACTGCGATATCGCCTCATGGCATTTGCTTGCCCAATGGCATGAGAGTATAAGAAAAGGTATTACACAAATGCAACATGCAGAAGAGATGGCAGAACCCAGATAGAAGCCATCAACTTGGGACCCAAAGACTCAGTGTGTTTCCTAAAACCACGTGTGAATAAGAGTTTTTAAAGCATCTTGACAAATTATGGTGTATCAGTGCTATAATTAAAAATCACATAATGATGCTTGAAAAACTCAAACCACCACAATGAGACTCACATACACCAGCCATTCAAGTATTTGGGGGATAGTAATGGTAAAATCTACATTCATACACATCTTTAGAAATTCCCATAGCACATCATCATGCCTTGGACACGATACACAGCTAGCAAGCATTTGCTAAATGGAACAATCTTCTTGCCCATGAGAAAGTTCTCAAGGAGAAATATTCTTTTTCTTAAAATCCTTACTGGAGGATATGCTTTTTTTAAAACTGATTTTTAGAGCGAGGGAGGGAGGGAGGGAAGGAAGAGAGAAACATAGATCAGTTGCCTCCTGTATGCACCGGACCAGGGACTGAACCCACAACCTAGGTATGTGCCCTAATTGAAATCAAACCCACAACCTTTTGGTGTATGGGATGATGCTCCAACCAGCTGAGCCCCCCGGCCAGGGCAAGAAATGTTCTTTTTGGTCAGACTAGGAACTAGAGGCCTTGCGTGGTTCCCAAACCTCATTGTATGTGGAATTCACTACCAAGTTGTTGTTTTTTAAAAGGCAGATTATAAAATGAGCCCCTAGAGATTCTGATGCAGTAGGTCTGTGTTGAATCTATATTTTAAAAAGCTTAGCAAGTAATTCTGAAGAGAAGCTAGATTTGAGGATCACTTGCCGGGAAAGCCGTGGCTGGGCCATGTTAATTCAGTCACTGTCTCTCCCAGGACATGAATGATCATGGGGTATTGAGGTGTATACAGCACACATGTACTCAAACTTCTATTTCACTTCTATTTAAGTGAACTAACATAAAAATGTAAAAACTTTAAACATCACCCACATAACCAAAATTCAACTACTGGCTTATAATTCCATGTCTTTCATTCTGGGGTAGAATGCAAGTTCTACTTATAACAAGCTTTCAAATAAGACTTTTCTAATTTTAATTAGAAACCAACATTTTAAATATGATAATTAACCAAATTAATTTTATCTGCAATACATCTGAGCAAGTAACTACTACCAATCTTTTTAAAAAAATGTTTTAATTGATTTCAGAGAGCAAGGGAGAGGGAGAGCGAACTAGAAACATCAATGAGGGAGAATCATTGATCGGCTGCCTCCTGCACACCCCCTACTGGGGACTGAGCCTAAAATCCACATGTGCCCTGACTGGGAATCAAACCCGTGACCTCCTGGTTCATAGGTCAACACCCAACCACTGAGCAACACCGGCCAGGCTCCAAACAATCTTTAAAAGGAAATTATTATTACTGCCACTAAACATAAATGCTATTCATTGTTTTAAGGATCAGTTTTCAAGAACAATAAGATAATGATCATAAAGTAACTAACAAAACTGTTGGTGTGGCACATACCTACATCCCCCAGGCTAGAACATTCAACCTGTAAACACACAAGACTGATTATTTATTTAAAAGGCCAAGTCATAAAAAGCAGGGTGAAGGTTCACCAAGCAACTAGCCAAACAGATCCAACCTAGCCCAAAATTTAAGAAAAGCACACAGGAAAATTTAATACATTATGGAGGTTATTTTATTAATTTTTGTTAATCCTCACCGACGATATTTTTCCATTAATTTTTAGAGAGAGTGGAATGGAAGGGGAGAGACAGAGAGAGAGAGAAACATCTATGTGAGAGACACACTGATTGGTTGCCTCCAGCACACACTCGCAGGGCCTGGGATGAGACTGAAACCGAGGTACATGCCCTTGACCAGAAGTAAACCCGGGACCCTTCAGTCCATGGGCTGACACTTTATCCACTGAGCCAAACCGGCTAGGGCTATTAATTTTTTATTAGAAGATTTGCCTATTCAAAATTCACCATAGAACTCTGCTATCAAATATTGGCCTCTGTTGTGAATACACATGATCATTTGTTTATAAATATCTTAGAAGAGGCAGGGCAAGGATGAATTTGAGTGGGTGCTGAAAAAAAACACATGAAGGTACCAAGGTCCCTAACAGGTTTAATAGGATATAGAAAACCGTGAAGCTCAAGTTTAAGAAGCCACTGCCAGAACAAGGTAATGCACATGGCCACAAAGCATTGCAAAGTCATAGAGATGCTGCTTTTTAGAAACCCTTGTAAGTTACAAAGCGATTCCAATAAGGTATGTCTACCATCATCCTTTCACCCAAAATGCATCCCAAGCGAGAACCACCAGGTATTTCTAAGTACCAGACCCTTTCTCACCCTCCAAACCACAGCCGACTGGAGATGTGGGGGGCAGAGCATCTAACGAAAAGGCAACCAATCTACAGGCTGAGCAAAATCCTATAACCTGTGGTTGAGGGCAGAAAGATAGGTGGAGGCAAAGGACTTCATCTTTTGAGAATTTCAGATCAAGACTCGGGCAACACAGAAGACAAAAGGAAATTCGGAGAGTTATCATCTAGAAGGCCTGCGGTGGCCATCATTGCCCTAAACAAGTCTGCCAGTCTACAGACAAGAGAGAAAGGCAGAGGGGCTAGGACTTGGCCACGCCAGTTACAAAGACACACAGGAAACAGCCTTGTTTTCTGTTTCCCAGTTCCAATGTCTATAGCTCCGCCTGTGAAGTGCTTCCTGTCCTTGGATTTTCATGGGACCTACTAGGTCCTTTCAATAAATCTGTTTCTTGAACTAGTGTAAGTGAGTCTCTGTTATTCGCAAACGGAAGAGCCCCACGTGAGAGCACAAGACATTATTTCCGAACCAAAATAATGACACACTTTCAGGATGCCATTTGTACGCCATTATGCTAAGCCTACTGGCGTATAGGAACAACACAGGCAGGCTAACATCGCTGCGAGAGGTGACTTTTGTACCAAGTATTTAAGTTTGTACCTTTAAAATTATCTTCCCACAGGATTTTCCATTCTCTTTCCTGGTTTCTCACAAAGAAAAGGAGGAAAGGGTCACAATGGAAGGAACCTCCCAGAAACAGCTTTACAACACTAATTCTAGCATTCACTACCTCGAGTCTATAATTTGCAGATGTGTAAAGGTAGATATTAATGTGCTAAATAAGCGACAAGGAGACATGCTTCAGTGTTCTGCACATTCAATTAATGTTGTGCGTGATGCACCCCACTTTTATACATTTATACAACTGGCTAGTCAAAAATAAAAATATTGTCCCTACTCTTCTACATAAAAGTTTTCTCTAGTCTGTCTCAAGAGATCTAAGCATGTAATCATTGTTAGTTCATTAAGGTTTCCTAAGGCTATAAAACAAGTGTGCATGCATAGGCAAGCACGCACGTGCACACCACACACACACACACACACACACACACACACACATTTAGTACATACAGAAAGAGCAGATAGAACACATACTGGGAAGCCACAACAGAGACCACAGAAACCAGAACACACCTGGACAGAGCCATCTACAGACCAACCAGAACACATACACACACACACACACACACACACACACACAGATCATCTAGGCTGGACATCTGACCGGCCTAAACCAGGATCTTTCCAGCTGAGAAAATCAATGGTAGAACTGTCATTAAAACCCAGAAGCCCAACTCCCTCTACACCAAGCTTCCTAAAACAAAAGGAAAGGAAACAATATTAGAGATAGAGATGCCAAGTTAGAAGATTAACTGCGAAATCTCAGAGCATATGAGAAGGTAAAAACCTAGTGAAAAATACCAACTACTCTAAAAAGAGGAACAGAGTGGTTAAGACTTCACTAAGAGGCCAA